CCGGAGGGAGTTCATGTTTGCCGACTGTGAGACGAAGAGTCGTTTCACAGAGTATTCACTCACATCCTCCGTCCTGAGGAGGAATGAGCAGCTCACGCTTCTGGACGACCGCTTCGAGAAGGTCAGTCAGCAGATCTTCCACACACACATAACGGTGAACATAAGGGCCTGTTCACAATAAGCTCAAATTTCTTTTTTTCTTTTCCAAGTATACACAGAACACAGCAAGATCACATCAGCATCTTTTTTTTCTTTTCACCTCTCTGAAATGTTGTGTCTTTACAATTTAGTACTTTAAAGTGCCACAGCCATACACATTTTCTTTGCTGTGTAGTTAGAAAAAAAGTCACCAAACAATAGAAAAGGATGGGTTTAATTTTCCGTTAAATCTAGTAATTTTATTATTTATAGTTTGTGTCTGGCATTAAATAGTTACTGGCATGCAATATGTATTTATTTGTTGATTTTTACATTTGTTTAGTTGTACTGTGCTGTATAAAAATTGTCAACAATTAACAAGGACTAAAAGCATGAGACTAATTTATTTTTAATGTAAAAATAATTTCTGAAGGATCATGTTACACTGAAGATTGGAGTGATGATGCTGAAAATTCAGCTCTGCATCACAGGAATGCATTACATTTGACAATATATTCAAATAGAAAATAGTTATTTTAAGTTCTAATAATATTTCACAATATTACATAACAGTGCTGTATTTTATTAAATTAAATGCAGCCTTGGCAAGCATAAGAGACTGCCTTCAAAAAAAATAATGTTTTTTATATTATTTTAAAGTATATATATTTCTCAGTTGTACTGGCAAAAAGTATTGAAGCACTAAAACCATAAACCTGATTTATTTTTAATTTTACACTTCTATAGAGAAGCATCAGTAATTGCCTGTTTGTTGTGCTGTCGAATAGTTTTACGAGCAGTTTGACGATGATGAGATCGGCGCACTGGATAACGCAGAGCTGGAGGGCTACATCGAACCGGACAGCAAGCGACTGGAGGAGGTCTTCAAAGATTACTTCATACAGAAAGAGAAAGAGTGAGTGTGTGCGACTGTCACAGATGTGTGTGTGTGTGTGTGTGTGTGTG